TTCAAGTTAGTCTCTCATACAAAAATTTATACATACTCTACATTCAAGAACAAGTTTCAGAGTCTTTTGTTATATCAATTTTGGTGGTCTTTTTTTTTTTTTTGCCTTTAATGACTATTAAGCATATCTCGACACAGACAACTGGAAACAGGCATGCTCCCCAACCCTGCCATATTATCTTTCAATTTTTCATTCAGCATATACTTATTGAGCATCTACTATGTGTGGGGTATGGGTGAACAATATAAAGTTCCTTCCCTCAAGGAGTTTATATTTCAGTGGAAAGAGAAAAACAAAAAATTTAACAAGTATACAGCAATGTAATTACAGATTCTAGTTAGTGATTATTGGGTGGTCAAGCTGGTGTCCTAAAGACCTGCTATGTCAGGCTCTGTTGTATTTATAGCAATGAATCGGGCAGCAGTTGGCCAGCAAGGAGCTCAGAATTGATGACTTGAACAGCGGCCACACAGATGTCAGGCTTTGGTAAAAAGGCTGACTCAGAGCAAGTTAGAGCTGTTTGGAGGATGAGGTTCCATTACTAATTATGGTCCATTATAAACTGATATGTTATGCAGTAAGGTGTTTATTTAATGTAAAAAATGACATATTTGAAGAATAGGGAGTTGTTTCTCATGGTGTTTCCTAAGACGGAAACCAAAGGGATTTCTTGCCTTAAAATTATTCTTTCTCTCTAGGTGAAACCAAATTGGATGCAGAATTGAAAACACAAAGCATGCAATGATCTGTAACTGTCTTGACAGCTACTACCAGTTTTATGTTGAATGATTTCATTTGCTGCCAACTTCTGCACATGTTAAGCTCTTATTTGCTAGCTGACTTCAAATTAGGACCACAAATTTTAGGAAAAAGAAAGAAAATGACACCAGCGTTCTTAATGTTAGCAAAAGATTCTCATTCTTCCTTTGAGTATTTTTGTTGCAGGGATACGATATTACTTGCCATTTTTTGATCCAGGAAAAATGTGTGACTCCTCAAGACTGATTTGTACTGACGTAATGGCAGGACACAGAGGAAGACAAGAAAAGGGTTAGTTTCATTGTGGAGGGGGAGTCCCATGCCAAAGGTATGGAAAACCTTCTTTCCTTTCAATCTCTTCCAGCAGGTGTGTAACTCTCATTCCTAGTTCTTCCTTTGCTTTTTACAATGGATGGTCCTGGGACAGGTGAGTTGTTGCATACTCAAGCAACACCTTGAAACATACTCTGACTCAGTGTCTATGGCACAAAATGCCACATTCTCTTGTTATAGGATGGAGTTCTCTAATATTTTCACACATAGAGACATTTAAATTGTAGTAAGTATAGGTTGGGATTGTTTTTGGTCTAAGATAATGACTATCTTGGCTGGGTTTCCCCAGAAACTGACCCTGAGATAAAGTTTACCTAAGGGAGGTGAGGAGCCCGGGTGGCACAGTGTTTAAAAGCGTGGCTGTTAACCAAAAGGTCAGTGTTCGAATCCACCAGCCACTTCTTGGAAACTCTAAGGGGCAGTTCTGCTCTGTCCTATAGGGTCGCTATAAGTTGGAATTGACTCGATGGCAATGGGTTTTTTTAAGGGAGGTAAGGGAGTCCCTGGTTCCACTACTATGAAGTTTCATACTAATTATGGTGCAAACAGTTAATGCACTCAGTTGCTTACCCAAAACGCTGAAGGTTCGAGTCCACCCAGAGCCACCTCAGAAGAAAGGTCTGAAGATCTATTTCTGAAAAAATCAGCCACTGAAAACCCTATGGAGTACAGTTCTACTTTGACACACACAGGGTTGCCATGAGTTGAAGTTGACTTGACAGCAACTGTTTTTCTTTTTTCCCCCTAATCTAGTATGTTACTGTGGACAACTGAAGCTTATTGTCACTGGGGAACTCTGTTATGCAATGGAGAACATGTCTTAGAGTTGTTGCAACCCACGAGCGAGGAATCTGGTTATTTATACACGAACTCCTTGCCTGTCTTTTGGCTGAAGCCTGCTCTGGGCGAATGAACTCTCCAGTACTTCCAGCTTGCCCTGAGGCCCAGAGCTGCAGGTGTTCCCAGAAAGCAGTCTTCAGAGAGTAGAGGTGAAAGTTGAGGGAATATGGGCAGGGCACGCACAGCCTCTGCTACTGTCACCCCATGCTGTGCTCACTCTGTCCTGTCATGGACTCCTTAGGGTGGTGTCCAGTCATACTTTATTGGGAAAGCAAAAGATCCACAACAGGAGGGTGGGTGGGTCCACCTAATCTCCACTGCTGTAGTTGGTGCTAAGGCCAAGAGTGAGTGTCTTCCTTGTCCTCTTTTGTCATCTATTCTAAATTTCCCTCACGCTCAGCTAGCACTTCTGCTGGGCCAGGCTGCTTGCTTGATGAGATGACCCAGACCTTCATCCCTGTGGGGTCTGGGATTCTAGTTACCATGCCCGTCAGGCCAGAGCTGCTATATTTTCCATTTACTGATATCAAGGAAAAGATGTCCAGTGAATCCCCTGACTTCCAGAAATTATCCTCTCTGTCTCTATTTCTTCTGATAATCAGGGTCGATTTTTTTTTTTGGGGGGGGGTGTTGCTGTATGAGCAGCCCAAATGAGTGAGAGATACAAGTCTCTTTAGATTTAGTAGAACCCTTGTGTCCCCTTAGAGGGCATCCTCTGCCTCACCCCAAGAACCAGGACTCCAGCTATCAGGGACACAGTGGTATTAACGCTGATATAATGGTATTAATAATGGCATTAATTTCAAAATATATACTGCACCTTAAAGCACAGCATGCCAACCCTGCAAAGTATTATCCCCAAGGTGGAGTCTTAGCTGTAACTTTAAGAGGCCACTGTAATGTTCTATCAGGATGGCAGCATCTGGGTGTGTGATGTGTGACAGGAACCAGTGGATCTCGTGGTCATGTCCCTTTGTCACACCTCCTTCACTCTTAAGGGAGTCCCTGGTGTAAGGCAACATTATGGGAAATCCCATGATGATAAATCACACACTGTATGCAATTGGGCAGTGATGGTTGCCAAGGACCTGTGGGCAGGGAAGACAAACCCAAATGGAGGATATGCATCTGAGGTCTGATGAAATCAACAGGCCACCAAATAGCTGCTTTGTCTCCACAAGGGATGGTACTACATTACGGCCCGAACATCGGCCTCAGCAGCTGGAGAGGCAGATGCAGTATGTAGATCCGCCTTGTTGAGAGGGAGTCCATATACTGTTGGGCCCACGCACAGCCTCCACCCTGCCACTAGGGCTATGTTATTTACCAGCCCAGTGCGCGAGCGCTGGGGTGGCCAAGACAGGGGCTGAGTGTCCTCCACTGGTTGGATCATCCTGATTGTTCAGTGCCTCCTCTGCTGTGGAGATGGATGTTCTCTGGTGGGCATTCATGTGAGACACAAAGATCTGTCAGGTACCCAACAACTAACTTTGTGTGAGATGCACCTACGAGTTTGCAGGGTTAGAGGCTGCAAGACACCAAACCATGGCTGTGGCAGCTATTTCCCTGCCCCACTTCTCTCCATTCAGCTCTAAGAGGTTATTCTAGCAAATCTCCACCTTTGGAATTTCTAGGTCAGAAACAAGTAGCATACTCTAGGTCACATATGGTCCCCACTACAGGCCAGCTCTCCTGGGAACTCTGCCCTCTGCTCGCCCCACTCTGATGGCAACAGAGGCCATGGATTCCTCAGGTCAGCAAATACTAACCCAGGTTACAGCCAAACGGGTGTTGTTTAATAAGTCCCGAAGAGCGGTTTACCCTAATTGCTATATCATGGAGAAACTCTAGGGTGACCAAACAGTATCTTGTCCAAACAGGACAACAGCCCACACGTCCAGTGGCCTACTTAACATCGCCAGTGGAATGTCTCATAGCATTTTACACTTTAAAACAGAATTTTTAATCCCCCTTTCCTCACTTTTTCTCCTCAGACTTTCCCGTTTTAGTTAACAGAACCGCCATCAACCTAGTTATCTGGAGTGTCTTTTCCACAGCCCTCAGCGGGGACCACCAATGCTGCCTCCAGAACACATGCCAGGCCTGCCAAATGCCTCCGTCGCCACCATCACCCGGGACCGACCACCGTCCTTTCTTGCCTAGATCCTGCAGTGGCTCCTGAGGTCTCTTCCTCGTCTCTGCGTCCTGACTGCTCCGGCAAGCAGGGGCTGGTGGAAGTCTCCTCTGTGCTCCAGAGCCGCGCTGTGCCTGCTGCTGCTGGGCTTCAGTCGTTCATCACTTCAAGTTTTCTGTCGGTACACTGGAATCCGTCCCAAAATTGTGGTTCCTGAGGACGTTTTCACGTGTCTCTTGAGAGGCTTCCTAAGGCCTTCGCGCCCCGACCCGTCCGCGCACCGAGGACTCGGCGATCGACTGCAGGGCGCATCGACGCGATCGGCGCTCGAGTGGGCGGAAGTGCGGACGCCTTCAGCGTTCGTGTGGGCGGAAATGCGACGGCTGTCGGGAGAGCTGCGGAACTGGAGATCCCATTTGGTCCTCTGTTTATCTGGGCGTAGCGGGGGCCGGTCTGGTGGCGGCCGTTGGGCTGCAGGTAGGTTTGGCGCGCACGGCCTTCGGAGGCTGGCAGTTCGGTGCTGAGGGTGAGTCAGGGCAGGGGAAGGCGGAGGGGCGACGGCGCCCCTGGGCTGGCCTCCGCCCTCCCGGCTGCCACCTTTCTACCCTCTGAGGAGGCGGGTGGGGGCTGGCCTGAGCCTCCTGACACATCCTCCCTCTCTCTCAGCCCTTGACTGTGATGAGGTAGGAGCGGCCCTCCTACCTGTCCCCACCTGCGCCTTGCCCTTTGGCACCTGGCAGAGTCTTCAGGAGTTCCCTACCCCCTACTCCCAACTCTCAGTTTTTACCTTCCAGAAAGCTAATCTCAAGGAGGCTGAGGCTGGTTGTAGTTGGCCTTATTGTTTTTAATGACCCCCCCCTCTCTCCACCTGGAGCCCTGGTGGTGCAGTGGTTAAAAGCTGGGCTCTTAACCAAAGGGTCAGCAGTTCGAGTCCATCAGCTCCTCCTTGGAAACCCTATGGGGCAGTTATACTTTGTCCTATAGGGTCGCTGTGAGTCGGAATCGACTCTACGGCAAGGGGTTTTTTCGCCACTTGCTCCCTTGCGTATCTGTTGTGACTGAGCAAGTAGGTGAGGTTAAGTGGTGGTTTGCGCTTGCTCTCAGAAAGTTAATGTTGAAACTACTTTTGAGAATTTACTGGTGAAAAGTGAATGTAAGACATGTTATGCATCAGTTTAAAGCTATACCGAGCACTTAGGGGCTTGCCACTGTTCTAAGCATCTTACACGTATTAACTGATTTTAATTCTCACAACAGCTCCAAGGAATAGACGCTGTTGTATTATCCCCATTTTACAGATGGGGAAACGGAAGCTCAGAGTGGTTAAATAACTAGTCTGAAGTGATAGTTAAATGCCTTCCACCCAGACCGTGCAGTGAGACACTAGAGCCTGCACACTTAAGTACTGTGTTATTCGTCATTTAAGCCTGGGGATGCTTCACCTGCTATCCAAAGATTTTGTAAATAGACACTTTCTTAGTTCCAAGAAATTGGTTTTTATGTGAAAATAAGGTATTTTTTTGTTGTTGCATTTTAATTTTTTTTTTATTGTGCTTCAGGTGAAGGCTTACAGAACAAATAGTTTCTCATGAAACAGTAGTACACATATTGTTTTATGACATTGGTTAACAACCCCACAACATGTCAACATCTAACTTCTCAACCTTTTTTTTTTTTTTTTGGTGAAAATACACGTAGCCAAAGATACACCATTTCAAAAGTTTCTACATGCACAGTTCAGTGACATCAACTACGCTCTTCCAGTTGTGCTACTATTCTCACTTTAGATGAAGGTTTACAGAAAAAAATAGTTTCTCATTAAACAGTTAGTACACGTTGCCCTGTGACAATGGTTAACAACCTCACTACACATCAACACTGTCCTTACTCAACCTTGGGTTCCGTATCACCAGCTTTCCTGTCCCTTTCTGCCTACTAGCCCTTGTCCCTGGACTGCTGTGCCTCATTAGTCCCGTTTGGTTTTATGGGGCTGTCCAGTCCCTGGCTGAATGGTGAACCTTGGAAGTGACTTCACCACTGAGCTAAAAGGGTGTCTGGGGGCCATACTCTCAGGGTTTCTCCAGTCTTCTTTAGGCCAGTAAATGTGGTCTTTTTTTTTGTGAGATAGAATTATGTTCTACATCCTTCTCCAGCTCTGTCCAGAACCCTTTGTTGTGATCCCGGTCAGAGCAGTCAGTGGTGGTAGCTGGGCACCATCTAGCTGTACTGGACTCAGTCTAGTGGAGGCCTTGGTAGCTGTGGACAATTAGTCCTTTGGACTAGTCTTTTCCTTGTATCCTGTTCTCTTCATTCTCCCTTGCTCCC